GCCGCGGAGTCCCCGGCTCGCCAGCCTGCCAGGGTGGACAAGGCTCCCCAGAACCCCGCTCTGCGGGAGCTGCCCCCAAGGGCTGAGCCCCTCGTCCCGGGTGGGGGCCCTGGCTGCAGACACCAGGCTGCCCGGTGGGCGGGAGCAGCACGGGATCGGAGCGGGATCAGCGCTTCGCAAACACGTACTAAATACTGATATTGTAAAAACAAGGTCGCTCTTAGAAGTGGGTTAAGAAGCCAACGGCAGAAGTTTGCCCGAGCTGAGCAAGCGCTGAGGTGCAGCACCCAACGCGCCGTGCGTGCCCCCGCGGCCCAGTACAGCCAGTTGTGATGCATGACTGGTGTTGCTCTTCCCTGGAAAAGCCTTTTACCCTGGGAGTCCCTGAGGTGGGGATGGGGGGGTAAAGGCTTTGCAAATTGCTCAAGGACCCAAATCTTCACAATTCCCCCGGGGACTCGGTTGCAGCCCCTGATGACTGAATGGTGGCTTTCGGCACCCCCCAGGTCCAACTGGCCCCCACGGCTGCTGCGGAAGGGGAGAACAACTCCCCGCCACCCTCACCAGCGGGAACGGTAACAGCAGGACCAGCAGCAGCTCGCAGCGCTGGCATGCACATGGGGAGCGATGGCAGCTGGCGAGCCCCGTCCCTCTGCTCCAGAGGTGGCACCAACAGGTCAGTGGCACCATCCAGGCAGCAGCAAAACCCCAGAAACCATTTTAATCCTGGAGGAGGAAGGCTCCGGCCAAGCAGCACCAGGGGACACAAGTGCTGGCTGCGGCTTTGCCCCCAAGTCAGGTTTGGGACCAGCAATACACCAGCAGCGAAAACCTGCGGCTCAGCCCTAGCCCCCCGCCTCGTGGAAGGCTGCGAGTGCTGGGCTGGCAGCCGAGCATGCTGGCGTAGCCACATCAGGTGGCCCCGTGGTGGTCACAGGCACTGCCACCACCGCTGGATCACCGGCTGTAACGCTCGCAGCTCGCAGCTTTGCTACGGCACCCAGCGCCGGGGCGGAATCCTCCTCCCCGGCTTATGCGAGACTCTCACCCGCGAGAAGGGGAAGGGATCGAGCATGGAGCTGGAGCACCCGCTCCCCAGAGGCCGGGCCCCTGTGCCCCCAGGAAGCACCTACTCCCCCAGGATTGCCACCAGCCTCCTCCGCCCCATGGGGGTCTCTGGTCCCGAGGCCTCGCAGCATCCCTGGTCCCACGTGTGCCCCTGCCTGGCTCCCAGCTGCGTACAGGGAGTAAAGATGGGAGCCAGACCAGCAACGTGCCCCAGGTCACTGCGAGATGAGAGCTGGACGTGGCCCCCCCAGCTCCCAGTCCCACTCCAGGAACAATACCTCAGCTGCAGAAACACCAACAGAAATCACGAAAAAATCGATGCTCCCTGGGGTTTTTTCCTCCCATCGGCAAAGACCAGAAGCGGGGAAGACAGAGAAGACAACGGAGCACCCCACCTGGAGGGAGGTGGCTCTGCTCGACGCCGGCTACCTCAACGCACACTTTACAAGGTCTCTTTTATCGAATTTGCAGCTCATGATCTCCACCAGCACCCAGGCCGTTTCCTCGTAACTCAGCATTTATGTAAATAGCAACTTGCATTCCTGGAGCAAGCCTGCCCCGGAATTTTGCATGAATAACGGCAGCGCCGTGTCTGTGAGGAGACCGGATCTCTAAACTGCTCCGATTATGAAATGATGTCACATATGCAGATGGGCGATGATTTTATCTTAAGATGGGAAAATGGGTTTTGCAGGGCAAACATGGCTGGGTTCATGCTCCATTATCATTATTAGATAGTATTTTTTTTAAGGCAGGACAGTGCGGAGTGGATGGACACGTCCTCAACACGCACAGGCAGAGCGGCTCCTCACCACCGGGCTTTCAGCCCTGCCTTGAGCCGATCCGGTTCATGTGCACGTTTGTAGACCCAGACGATGCCGTGGCTCTGCCTGCAGCTCCTCCCCGCTGGGCAGGGAACTCTCCTACGCCACTTGCAGCATCAAAACACAGGCAGCAGCTCTTCCCCAATGGCTTTCAAGACTTGATAGCGACTCTGGGAGGGATGGAGCCAGCGCAGGGCAGGCCAGCCAGGGTGACTCTCCAAGGTCACCCTGGCGTGGGCTGGTACCCGCCCGCCCGCCGCTAGCGCCGGCCCAGGGAGCGACGCTGCTGCATCCCAGGGAAGCCTCTGAGGCTTTGCTCCCACCATGGGCTCACCGCAGGGAGACCCCACTCACGGCATCACCACGGGCTCTGCCACCAGGACCACAGCTCTGCTGGCTCGGAGTCGGCTGCAGGAGCGGGACAGGTTCTGGCCCTGTGTGGTCATGGTGGAGGGCAGCGGGGCCAGGCCATCACCCCGCTCCCAGCCTCCCCTTACAGCCCACAGCTTCTGAGGGTGAAGCGGAGCGTGGGTGACACAGAGGGGCAGAGTCCTCCAGCTCGCCAGCCCCCTGTGCACCCCCCAGCCGCAGCAGGGATGGCAGAGCTCCCTCTGCCACAGGACCAGCGATGGCCACAGGGCACAGCCACCCCTCACCCTGGCTCTGCAGCAGACCTGGTGCTCAGCTGGAGAGACAAGGAGGGGGCTCCGATGGATAACTTCAGCAGGTTCCCAATAGGAATGTCTGCTGCAAGGGTGCAAGAACCCGGCGTGGGAGGTCAGCCCCAAGAGGAAGCCAAGAGCCTCCAGTTGCTCCTCTGGAAGATGCCAGATCAGCCCAGGAGCAGCACACGAGGGTAGGAGCAGGAGGTGCAGGCACCGGCCCCTGCTCCAAGCCCACCTGGAGGGGCAGACCCCACCGCCCATGGCCGCCTCTACCTGCCCCAGGGACCCCTGCGCTGGTGGGGATGCATCAGCACCAGCGGTGAACAGGGTCTGGCTCGGTGGCGTCCCTCACACCGGCACCCAACAAACCCTCCCTCCAGGCTCCCCAAACCGTGCACCAGAACAGCAGCACAACAACTGGGAGCTGAGCCCCTTGCACCCTCCAGCCCCTTTGAGGCTCTGAACCAGGGGTCCTTGATGGCTGCCTCACCAGCGAGGTCTTGGCCACCCATCCCTGCAAGGTGCCATGATGCCTGCCCCAGCTGGTTGGGCCATACATCCCTCCTGGTAGCCTGCACATCACCCGGGAAGCATTTGCCACTTCTGAGCTCCCCGGGGCTCAGGGGGCGGAAAGGAGACAGAGCTGCAGAGTCTCTCTCCCTGGGTTTGCCATTCCTCGTCTGGAAGCCACACAGGCTGGGTCTTGAGGACTCTGGTCCTCTTGGGGGCGAGATGAATCCCTCCTCAAACTCTCTGAATCTTAGGGACAGGATGAGGCCTCCTTGGGGGAGGGGGGGCCTTCACAAAGATCTGCATGGTAGCGGAGAGAGCAGCACATCCTCCAGCCCAGACCCCCGGCCCTGGCGAGGGGAGGGTGACACCTTCCCCCGGGGCTGTTTGGGGGCAGAGCCAAAGCCCGGTGGGGCTCCGGAGGGTCCGTGCTGGGCCGAGCCGCCTGAGGCCCCGGGAAGGACGCGGGGGAGGCCCT